AAACAGCATAGTTGACCGTTAACCGAGCACAGCAGGCCCAGATTTTGAGCATCACATTTTAGATCCGTCCTCACAGCCACGCCCCCGCCCCTCTCACAGCACAGTACTGCACAGTTTGTCCTAACGTTTGTGCACTTTCTCTTCTTTTGTCTTCTCGTTTTTCTCTTCTGCATGGACCCTCTTCCATGTCTGCATGACATTACCCCACCCCTCCCATGTGTGTGCTGCATGTCCACGCTGCTGACCTCTGACCCTGCCCACGGCTCTGACACCCAGGACCACTCGGGCGCACTGGGCGCTGAAGAGTTCAAAGCCTGCCTTATCAGTCTGGGCTTCGATATCGGGAACGACGCACAGGTACACACACACCGACACCAGTCAGGGAGTTCTGCCATTAACCACACTCTTTTTGTTTTTGTTTTTTTTCCCCTTTCTACTCTCTTTTTCTTTTCGCTCTCGGTCTTATTTTTTTTCCAATTTTCTCTCAACCCTTCCTCTAAAATGACTTCCTTCACTTATACTCCTCCTACCCTCTTTCGCTCTTCATCTTTCTGTCCACTACTACCTGGCACTGTTTGTCCCTCGTGGGTTCCTGTAGAAGAGAACAGGCATGATGGATGCAGAAGACTTCAGAGCCTGCCTCATCTCCATGGGTTATAATATGGTAAAGCAGAGAGTTCAAATCTCCATGGGTTGTGATAAGGTTAAACTGAGAGTTTAGGTCCCCGTGGATAATGAACTGGTAAATCATATAATCTGAATGTTTTGTAATATGGATAAATTGATAGTTACAATCCCTCTGGATTAATCTGGTAAAACGGATTTAGAAATCTAAATGGTACAACCTGGAAAATTCTAGATTTATGATCAGCATGGGGAAGCTGTTATAATCTCCAAGTGTTCAGTTAATGCAGTTATCATTTGGCTTAGGATGAATTTCCTGAACTCTTGGATAGTTACATCTGTTTGGGTTATTTTCTGAGAAAGTTACTTAAGTATTACTGGAAAAAGTAGCATGAACTAGTAAAAAAGTCCACGTATAGTAGCCTAATTCACTCCCTATGGAATATAACTTATTATAAATTGAAGATATATGTGGTAAAACAGAGATTTATAATCTACTACATAGATATAAACCTGGAAAAATGAAGATTTGTCTACATGGGGTATCCATCTTATTTTTAACATAAGAGTAGGTGCGGCCATTTGTAACTTAAATGTGCAAAAACATTCTGTTATCCTGCTTGTTGCAATTACAAGCCTTAAAGGAGCCGTCCCTTAAAAACAGATCATTACAGACAGAGTGTTAGAATGAAGGCAGAAATAATTATTTTTTGTTGTTTTATTGCTAAAAGCTTTATTGACATTATAAGTGAGCCTCAAGGAACATATTAAAATAATAAGAAAAATTCCATGTCATGACCCCTTTGAATTATTATACTCATAAACACACTGGTTTGTAACACTAATAGTTTACAGTTTTCACAGGAAGTAGCTTACTTCCACATTGAAAAATAAGGTGGATACTATGGTAATAAACTGCATGCATTATTATCTAAGAAGGCAGAGTTATGTGGTTAAGGGAAGATTTCCTGAACTCTTGGTTAGTTCCATCCATGTGGTTCAGTGTTATTTTTGTATTTATATAATATTATAGTATTTATTCAAATTTTAAATTATCTTTTATTTTGTATATCTTCATTGTACTTTAAAGTTTTTGTAATTTTGTTTTGTCGTGTGTGTGTGTGTGTGTATTTATATATAAATTTTTTACATGGTTTTAATTTTTTTTTGTTTTAGCTATTTTAGTACTTCAACATACAATTATTAATTTAGTTATTTGCCTAGGCCATATTTCTAATTTTTAAATAATATTTTTAATTTAATCTAATATTTGTAATGTAGCGCTTTTTTTGTCTGTTTGTTTTAGTTAATTAACAATATCAGCACTAATGTGGTTATTATTTGAGAAATTACGGAAGTATTTCTGGAAAAAGTAGCATAAACTGGATGAGAAAAGTCCAAGGATTGTAAATTAAACTACAAGTGGATCAAAAAAGTTAATCAAAGTTCTCCTAAGAAAAGAAGGGCTATTGTTCAAAATGTATATATAACTTTAAAAGATTTTATATCCACTTTTAATCCTGTAAATTATAATCCCCTTAGACTGTTATAATCTATAATCTGGTAGTTATTCCAGGTAAAAAAAAAAGAAGAAGAAAAAAAATAGCATCAGCTATGCTAACCCAGTGAGGAACAACCCTTCATACTGTTTTCATAGTGATTTTTAAGAAGAATTTCTCTGTTCTGTAGGGAGAGGCGGAGTTTTCCCGCATCATGAGCATTGTGGATCCTAACAGACTGGGATTGATCACATTCCAGGCCTTCATTGACTTTATGTCTCGCGAGACGGCCGACACGGACACCGCTGATCAGGTCATGGCATCGTTTAAAGTCCTTGCTGGAGACAAGGTACATATGCAACATCCAAAAGACATTTCCTGTGTTAAAATGTTTAAATTTATAACCAAGTGAATAACTCTTATCTGGTGCAGAACTATATCCTGGCGGATGAGCTGAGGCGCGAGCTCCCTCCTGATCAGGCCGAGTACTGCATCGCCCGCATGACGCCTTACTCCGGCCCTGACACCGTCCCGGGAGCTCTCGACTACATGTCCTTCTCCACAGCCCTCTACGGGGAGAGTGACCTCTGAAACGTGTCCCCCAGGATGTGGGGTCAACCTGCCTTCTGATACAAATACACACAAATACGCATATTCATAAACACACACATAGCTTGCACTCTATGCGAGTAAAAGCGGCTCTTCAGTGTTGATCTAGCACCAACAAGCAGAGCAAGCAGAACTGGTCCCAGATCAGCCAATCAGAGCAGCTTCCATCAGCACTTCACAATGATGTTGTGTCATTTTTGTATCTTCCTATCAGCCCAGGCCTTTCTGTGTGTCATATACGACTTTCTGCTCTTTTTCCAGCCGTGTTCATGAAGTCTGTCTTGCCTGTTTTGGGAATTGTGTCACATAGAGAAAGCCTAATGTTGTGACCGTTGACCCATGTGATAACTAATGACCAAGCGTTCAGATTGGTACCCTTTTTTTACATGCTTGTTGATGAGAATGCTTTTTGATCGTTCTCTTGTGACGGTGAGTCAGATTTCATGAACCGTTCTTCGCCTTTCTGCTTCCATGCGCAACATTGAGAAACTCCCTCCCCCCAGAGGAATGTTTTCTGTAATTTTACTTCTTATTTTGTTTTTTCCCTCTTCATAAAGGAATAAAGGTAACATATTTTATTATACAGAACAAAAAAAGGTATTTTTCTTCACCTTATTAAAAAAAAACTTTAAAAAAATTATGAAAATTTAAATAAAGAAACAACCACAATTGCGTGTTTGTGTTTTTTAACTGCTTGTATCAAGGAGAAATGTGTCCTATTAAGTTGAGATGCTTTGTTTTAATGTAAAAAGGACAACAATTAGGCATATCGTTTTCAAAACTGTCATTTTGACTAATTAATTTATTCATTCGCATGCTTACTCAACTCATTAGTAATTCAATTTGCTGGCAGAATTAGGGGCAGAACATACATATACAGTATATATATATATATATATATATATATATATATATATATATATATATGAAGAGTTCAGGTGCAAAAGCCTCTAAAAGCCATTTGAAATTTTCTTCTTTAATGATGATTTTTATCAAACTTGTATATTTAAGTTCAGTAATTTCACTTACTTTGTAAATGGCAAAGATAATTACCTATTAATTGTTATTTAAGTGAAATTACTGAACTTAAATATACAAGTTTGATAAAAATCATCATTAAAGAAGAAAATTTCAAATGGCATTTAGAGGCTTTTGCATCTGAACTCTTCATATATATATATATATATATATATATATATATATATATATATATATATATATATAAGGACCAAGCTGCTATACTTTCAGATTATTCACATAATTTGATTACATTTTTGATAAAGTACATTCATTTAAAAAAACAATATGTATGTGCCCTAGTAAGTTTCTCAGAACTTCCCTAAAGTTTTGGCAAGGTTCTCTCAAAAGTTAGGTTCTCTCAGATTTATCGTCTCCTATACTCACATAATAACCTCTCCCTTCTAAGTATGACTTGAACCATTTTAGGACTATACCAGAAAGCCTGGCCAAGTTTTCCAGCCTGTCAAGAAGTATGTTAAGATTGATAGTGTCAAATACAGCCCTGAGGTCGAGTAGTACCAGTAACTTGCCTGAATCAGTGTTTAAGTGAATATTGTTTATCTTTTCGAGCGCTGTCTCTGTGCTGTGATCGGAAAGTCAGACTGAAAATTGTCAAAGTATCCCTATATAAAACTACAACAAAACAGTGTGCATCTTTCCATTAAATGTCTCATTTGTCAGCCAAGGATCGAGATTGGTACATGATGTCCAACCAAAACCAGGTCATTCAAGTGACAGAATGGAGAAGAAAAAAAACCTTGTTTGAACCCAGGCTCAGTCAGTGGCCAGTTCTCCTCTGGCCAACAAATGAACAGTATATGGTTATGATTCAGGCAGCATTATTTGCCAGAAGTCAGATTGGATTGGAACATCCAATTCAATCTAGAGAGAACATCAGCATACAGATGGCCTCAGAGCGAACAGACATGGACTAAAAATCACAAACTCTTATTCTGATTTCATGAGTTTCATTATGTCTTCTGGCATTTCTTGCTAATTTTATTTTATGATTTTCATGACAAAGAATAATTGAATTAAATATCATATTACATTGATCAGTTTACGTGCTCTAGAGTTTCTCCAATAAAGATATGTATGACGTTAATTTATAATTAAACCTACTAAACCTGATAAGAGCTTTCAACTGTAAATAATCCATAGACAGTAGAAATAATCACATTAATCTAGTACGCCCTCATTTTTTAAAGTGGAACCCATTGCTCCTTTCTTAGTTCTACACGGACGGAAAATGAGGCTGTACGACACCGCTGCAAGGATTTGTGGGTTTACATGGCTGCGCCCTGTGAAGCCATGTTGATTTATATCCTACTGACTTTATTCTGAATAATATGAATTTGTGAAATGACGTACATGAGCACATAAACATGTGGGATCAAGTTCGTAAACTACAAAAGAACAAAACCGTGAAATATGGGATCCCGATGCTGGTGAGCTTTTTAATGTAGCGTTGTGTATGCTGGATGAGCTAAGTTATTATCATCAAGTTTTAAATATTTGTGTGCGACCTAATCTTTAGTAATTATTTGATCGTGGTTTAAATAATACTTATAATAATAATGGTAACGTTAGTAGTAGTAATGAGGTTGTTTAATTGAACAAGTCAAACAAAGGTCATTTAGAGTGATGTAATTTTTTTTGTCCAGGTTTCTTTTTTAATTAAATTTTTAATTTGTGCACTGTGCACTGTGAGGATTATTTAGTAGTAAAAAGAAAACCTGTATTTAAATCAACTCATTAATGCCTAAAATAGTAAAGTAAAATATTACAGGAGTATAATTCAGTTCTTTCAGATTTCTTTTTTCATTGTTGATACTATCAGTTTTTCAATGTGCAATATTTACAAGTTCTAGTTTCTATTTACAGGATCTAGTTTCTGCCTTTGTACATAATGAGGTAGACTAATACTCATATTTAAATGTTTATCTCTGAAGCTTCTGATCGTGGGAGGGTCGTTTGGATTGAGAGAATTCACTCAGATTAGGTATGATGTGCAGAAGATCAAAAAGAAGGTATGTGAACCTTAAAAGACTTCTGAAATACAATCTGTCCATCTTACCAAACAGACAGAACTGATTTGTGCTGTTAAATGCAATCTCATACCATGTTATCATTATACTTCTTTCATGTTGTTATTATTGTTTAATTTTTTTGCATGTTTGTTCTAGCTGGACCCGACACTGGAAGCTCGGGTGAACACTCAAAAACAGTCTGTCATCCTCGAGGAAGAGTATGAGGTATTGAGATCTGTGTTCGCACACTGTTTCATAGTGCTATAATGTTTTGACGAGCCATCTGCTGTTTTGCTGCCTACAGCATGGATGTTATGTTTATTCGGTAGTGAGTTTGTGGTAGCATAATTGTTAAACATCTGGCTTGTTAAATACAATGGGTGCAGGTTTGGATCTGACGCAGGGTGACTCATGAATTGTAATCACAATTTTGTCGTGCAGTTTGTCAATCAGGACACATAACACTAGGTTGCTTCAGTAAGACTTACCGACCTGGTAATTAGTGTGCTACAATTTTTTTTTTTTGTACCGAAAGTGTAGCTATTTAGTCCCAACTAAGTGCACTGGATGGCACTTGGTTCATATATAATCTCCATTTCATGCTGTGGGTGTTTGAGGCTGTCCACAGCACAGTAGCAACACACTTTCATTATACTGCAGTGGTGATTCTCTCTGCCTTTAACTTTTTTTTTTTGTTGCTTTTGAGCCATTTTAAAAAGTTTACAACGCCATTAAATGTGACCTCCTGCTACCAGGCAAGTAGTATAAGAGCGCCCTCAAGTGGAACCAGAGAAGATGAGTTATTATAAGCAACTTCACAGCTGTTCATTAGATGATAAATAGGTGTCTTCTCCAGTATTTTATATTAGATTTCACACTGACTGACCCATCATGAATCATTTATAACAAACCAACGCTCTGCTTAAGCTGATTGGGCTCATCTTTAGTTACTAGATGCATTACAGATTAAAAGTTTTGGGTCATGAAGATTTTATTCAGCAACGATTAAACCGATCAAAAGTGACAGTAATTTATAATTTTACAAAAGAACCTTAAAATAAATGTTGTACTATTGAGCTTTCTATTAATCAACATTGATAATAAGAAATGTTTCTTGAGCATATTCGACTGATTTCTGAAGGATCATGTGACACTGAAGACTTGAGTAGTGATGCTGAAAATTCACCTTTGTCATCACAATAAATTACATTTAAAAATGTATTATAATAGAAAACAGTTATTTTAGATGTAATAATATTACTATTCAAATAAGTGCAGCCTTGGGGAGCACGATAGGCTTTTAAAAACATTTAAAAATATATATTTACTTTAACTGTATTATTCAAGCCATTTAATAATTTAGCAAGACTTGATAAGAAGTTTAATGCATTTTTCTATGCATTTATTCTTGACTTCTGATTGCCATTTAGCATGCTTTGTGCTTTGCTTGTGCATTCGATTTGTGGCTAAAACTGGCTACGGTAAAAAGAGTCATTTTGATGGAATCCAATCTCATTTGTCGCTACAGAAATTGAAAGAAAAGGACTTGGGTGGATGGCAGAACATCCGTGGCCCTCGTCCCTGGGAGGATTCCAGGGAGACCCAGGACCAGCAGCGATCGCGGCTCAATAAAGGCACATAGAACTGAAAGTTTAAACTTCACCTTTTGGCCCTAAGATGTAAGACACTTCAAACCAGTGCAGTCTATACCTTGGTTGTCACTGCTTACTAGATCAGCACTATTATGTTATTGTATACCTAGACCAGAAACTACCGATTTGGATTTATTGTTGGAAAGATACTTTTCTAATACACTTTTGTGGCTGGATATGTGTATAGTACGTACTCTGTACAGTGTCTTATTTATGGTGTCAGGCAGACTGTAACTAACTCTTATGCCTTGTGTGTTACCTTGTCAGTTCACAAGCACAGTAATACATAACTCAAGACCCATTAGTGCGTTTGAGTGATAATATATATTTCCATGTTCTTTCAATGGTGCAAACAGAATCAGTGCTGGATGAATGGTGTACAGTCTGCATGAATGACCCTCTGTACTTTAAAACCGTATTTGATTATCGCGATTTGAAAAATACTGTCCAGAATTAAGGAAACTTAGCAACCGTCTCACGCAGGAGATATATATATATATGCTTTAAACATACGTATGTTTATATTCTCTGTAGCTTTACAAATTTGATAGATATTTTACAGAATTCAACAGTAAGGATTTTCCCCCCCAAAAAATGTTTAATCCCACCTCCAAAGATTAAGCAATTTGTAAATCATTTTTTCAATGCATTTTTATATTTTAGTGAATGTGAAGAATTGCGTTTTTATATATTTTCAATTTCATTTTCTTTACAAAAATGATTGAAAACACTTTAGAATAATTTAACCCATTAGTTAACATGATTTAATATATTAACCCACATTAAATTAAATGAGCAATGCATTTCTTACTAATGATAGTTTATAAAACATGAAGTAGTTAATTGTTAGTCCATGTTAGCTTAGGTCCATTAAAGGGATACTGCACTTTTTATGGAAATATTGTATTTAAGCCCTTCAGTTCTTTCTGTCTAGTGTTTGTTGATACATACTGTTGCGTTGTAAAATCATTATTTAAAGGGATACTCCACTTTTTTTGGAAATAGGCTCATTTTACCACTCCCCCAGAGTTAAACAGTTGGGTTTTACTGTTTTCAAATGTATTCAGCTGATTTTCTGATATTTAGAAGAATATCAGTAACCAGACAGTTTCTGGTCTAGTAAATATACCATAGTATATTTTTTTCAATGAGACCAGAAACTGTCTGGTTGCTGATATTCTTCTAAATATCAGAAAATCGGCTGAATGGATTCAAAAACGGTAAAACTCAACTGTTTAACCCTGGGGGAGTGGCAAAATGAGCCTATTTCCAAAAAAAGTGGAGTATCCCTTTAAATAATGATTTTACAACGCAACAGTATGTATCAACAAACACTAGACAGAAAGAACTGAAGGGCTTAAATACACAGGCCAACAAAAGTGGGGATGATGGTGGGAACATAAGCTCTTTTGATTTTAGTAAAGCATTTGTAAATGTTGAATTTAACATTAACTGAGATTAATCGTTTCTTCAGAAGCGTTTTTCATTATTTATTCATATTAACTTATCTGTTGTTAACAAGTGAAACTTTGACCTGTTACCTAACTATGTTTACAAAAATATTTCTTTGTGAAAAGAGAATTTGCAACAAGACAGATATTAAAGGAGTAGTTCGCTTTTAAAAAAAACTTTTGCTGATAATTTATTCACCCCCATGTCATCCAAGATGTCTTTCTCTCTTCAGTCGAAAATAAATTAAGGTTTTTGATGAAAACATTCCAGGATTTTTCTCCATATAATGGACTTCAATGGGAACCAAACGGTTCAAGGTCCAAAAGTTTCAGTGCAAACTGTTCAAAGGGTTTTAAACGATTCCAGATATTGAATAAGGGTCTTATCAGGGAAACGATCGGTCATTTAAAAAAAATAAAGTTTTAAAATACGTTTTATAAGCCCAAATGGTCGCCTTGCTCTGTTCTGTGATGGACGTTTATGACTCTCCTTTTCGAACTCGTTCATCAAAATGAACAGATGAGTTCGAACAGGAGAGTTCGAACAGGAGAGTCACAAAATGAGTTCGAACAGGAGAGTCACGAACGCGCATCACAGAACAGAGCAAGGCGACCATTTGAGCTTATAAAACTTAAACTTTGTTTTGTTTTTTTTAGAGCGATCTTTTCGCTTGATAAGACCCTTATTCATTGTCTGGAATCATTTAAAGCCCTTTGAACAGTTTGCAGTTTGCACTGAAACTGTCTTTTGGACCTTGAACCGTTTGGTTACCAGTAAAGTGCATTATGGAGAAAAATCCTGGAATGTTTTCATCAAAAACCTTCATTTCTTTTCGACTGAAGAAGGAAAGACATGGACATCTTGGATGACATGGGGGTGAGTAAATTATCAGCAAAAGTTTTTTTTTTTTAAAGTGAACTACTCCTTTAACTATGTATTACGCAGTTAATCACATTTTTACTGATGCTTTCAGTATGACTATCAAGTAATTTTTTGGAATTTTGACAAAAACCTGTTTATGCTAGCCAGCTAAATATTATTATCTTTGTGGAACAAAAGCAGAACTTGCAACAACGATGTTCAACACAACCCCCCCAAACTTGTTGGTTTACTATATCTTTCTTTGTGGCTGTTGTGCTTTGTATGCTACTCGACGTTGTTATTCACCTGTTCGTCATCTGTATGGCATAAACGCATCAGTGAGATGCCACAGAGCCTGCAAAAGCGGAAAAATATCACCTCCTGCTGCTTTAATCAATGCCTACACATATGGTTGTGTGATTTAAGAGGTTTAATCTTTGGGGATACATTGCGTCCAACTGTGAAGCAGCACACGGTCTTGATTCAGTCCTGGAGTGCTCAAGTATTTCCGACAGGATCCGGGCACAGGCTGCTGCTCTCAGGCTAATGTTAACGCCAGCACTGACTCATCTGTGGGATGTGAAGCTTTGTTCCGAGGCACATTTTAACAAGCCCCTGTTGACTTTCCCTCCTTTCCCTCGTCACTCTCCTGCTGGAAATTCCAGCACTGTCATATCATGTGCTCCGTCACTTTAATTGCTCAAGTGGGAATAATCCTCAGGGGCCGAAGGGAACACGTCAACAAATCTGACTTCAGGAGTCCAGATATCCTCAGGGGGCATTAAAGCCACTCATGTGTCCAGTCCTAGTCAAAACAGCGTTGATGGGGAAAGGCTCCGACTAGTATGTTTCAATAAGCTTTTGAGATGTTTTGGCTGGTCAGGTGTGGAGCACAAAAAGTGATTAATTAATTTGTCATGACAAGTGTTGCTATAGCAAAGAAGTGAAATGTATTGCAGTGAATTCTTTACAGGATATTCATTTGATGCCGGTTAAAACATTAATTGATTTGTGATATTAATATGGTAATAAAATGTGACCTTAGTTTTGTGTTTTGCACAGTAACCAAGTATTTGCTATGATTTGGTCTTTGAATAAGGTACTTAAAGACGTGGTTGGAGCTCTTTATTTATAAGACCCTTATTCATCGTCTGGTGTCGTTTAAAGCCCTTTGAAGCTGCACTGAAACTCTCATTTGGACCTTGAACCGTTTGGTTCCCATTGAAGTCCATTATATGGAGAAAATCCTGGAATGTTTTCATCAAAAACCTTCATTTCTTTTCGACTGAAGAAAGAAAGACATGGACATCTTGGATGACATGGGGGTGAGTAAATTATCAGCAAAATTTTTTTTTTTTAAAAGTGAACTACTCCTTTAGTATACATTTCTTAAAGAAAAAAAATATTGTTGGCCCCAAACTTTCGAACAGCGTGTGTATGTTTCCTATATAGTATATTTACTGTATATTTGATTTATATTTAGAAGTAACATGCTTAAAAGTAAAAGTCAAGTGGAAGGTTAGAGGAACAGCTGAGATTTGATTAAGGCATCTTTAAAGCTTAAGAGTGTAATTTCTAGCAATACCAGAAATAATGGAAAGCAGACAGCAACCTGAACCCCTAACCTCTTCCGCCCAGATCCTTAACCATTAGATTAAGAACCCTCTAACAGGTTTATGTGGACAAGCATCCTTTACTGCAGTGTGAGGATGCCACTTCTCAATGAAACATTGAGCAATTTATCTGAATCCTCCACACAGGGTGGCACTTGCATTTAAATGAGACCTCTTGAACTCCAGTCAGACCTTCACCACAGAGCTATAGACCTATGTTAAGCATCTTTATATTTTACTCTTTATTGCAGAGATAAACATTTCAGCCTTATTAATTTCACTTTCACAGAGAACATTCAAAATGGGCCTGTGATGTTTAAATGTATGATATTGCCTAGCAGGTTTTTGTGTGTGTGCTTCTAAGATTAGTTTTGCAGATTAAATCTTTAACAGTGTTTTGAAAAATCTGGTTTAGGCATTGTCAAGCTTCACACAAAGACGCATGTATAGCCTAGTGTAAATCCCGGCTGGACATATTCTCCTCCCTCAATTCAAAGGAATTCTTTCACCTTATTTCACCTATGTTGTTAGGCTAAAATGAAATATTTATTGAATATCTTTATTTTCAGAATTGATTCTCTTCTCCTTCCGGTGTGCTTCAAAATTGGACCAATTCTAATGTCAAAGGTGAGTAGGAGCTTTGTGACCTGGATGATGGTGGCACAAATGAATCAATTCTCACAGGAAGTCAATCCAGCAGTTAAGCACAATGACTGGTGGAAGATGATGTGATCAGACTGGAGTTGTCTGCTGTACATGTGACTATGTTTGCTACAAAACCATCAGCATCAAAGAGGAAACGTAAGTGCTCTCTTTTCTTTAATAGGGCTTAAAGAGTTGTTAAGTAAAAGTCTTACGGGATTGCAACAAGTTGCAACAATCAAATACTGAGTAACAAAAATGTTTGCATTGTGTTCCCTTTCTAACCAAATGCTATGGTTTCTTATCATAATGCAAAACCTGAAACTTATCTAAAAGAAATGTTAAAAAAATAAAGTAGTCTTAGAATATCTAAATGTCAATCTAAAAATATCAAAAATGGAAAAAAATAACTCATAAAAATTATATAACAAATGCAAAGTATCATAAAAAACATAAAAAAATAATCATAAAATATTATAGAACAAAAATATATTTGAATGGTTATCCTGGGAAAAACTAAAGTTAAAATTTTAAGGCTTTGTCCGTTTTTGACCGAGAGGAAGCCATATATTTGACCTTCTTCGTAACCCATTTACGAAGAAGCCCAGAGTAGTCTTGTTCAGTGTTTGCTGTAGCGCTCTATTAGCCTGACAAGCCAAACCTACATCAAAATGTTAGGTTTGGGAACTCACAATTGGCATACCTCAGTCCGAGGGGCGGGATAAACGTTTGT